GCCTTTTTTTTATATATATGGGCATATTTCTCCCTCCTTCCACTATCAGTCGGTGCAGACAAGTGGCCAACTTATCCGGGTCCATTTTAATAAGTTCCGCTCCGATACCATCTTTACCAGCTGCTTTGTTGTTCTTGAGCTGTCGGATAGCATCCTTAACTTCACCTATCGTGGGAGCTGGCATGTCCCCCTCATTCACTGTACCTCAGATGCACCGTTCAGATGTTCATCGTAGTGCTGCTTCCACCTTTCAATTACCTCACCTTCGTCCGTTAAAATACCCCCTTCTTTATCCCGACACATTTTGGCTCGCGGCACAAAGCCTTTGCGGGATGCGTTGAGTTTCTCGTATAACGATATAGCTGCTGCATTTCTTCGCACTCCAGCTCTTCCAGGCGGCACTTCTTATTCCGTTATCCCGGAAAAGATCGTCCTCGCCCGCGCTGCGTTCTTCTCATGGGGTAAGTCACTCTGCCACCTTGTTTCTGTGCTCACTGTGTGTCACATGTGTGTTTTTGAGTGCCGGAAGGTGTTTGTGGGTGTTTCATCGTGATGACCGAGCTGTCAAAACTTCAACCGAAAAAATATACTTTCTGGCAACCATATCCTCAACCATAGCATAACGCTGAAAATGACAGAGCCCCCTGCGACTCCTTTGCTGTTGTTTAATGAAAAAGCAAAACCGACGGGAAGGTTATTTGGGTTTTTATACGACCGCAGCTCGGTGCATCGGCTTTCAGAGTGAGACAGGCCCTGTCGCTGCAGGAGGAAGACGAATGGGCACGTGCCACCAAGGAACAAGGACCAAGCAATGGGTGCAATTTGCGATTAATTGGTGGGGCCGTGACCGGGCTGCTGCTGGTGAGAACCTACGATTTACAATGAGAAACTGTTCCGTTGCGTTTGTCTTGGTTTTCTTGCGAGACATTTACCTTTTTTAGCATCTGTTCCTCCTGATGCTGCCACTTTCGTGGATCCCAACGGGTTTCGGATTTCCTTTTCTTTGGATTTCAATCCAGATCCAGAATGTTTTTCTTTCCCGGCAGGATGGTACGACGGTGTTTTGCTCGTTTTTTTTTCTCAATAATTAAATGACAATCGAATGTAAACAGTATTTGCAGTGGTGCCAGAGTTGATTAAAAAATTTCCTTATCATACAACGTAATGGTGTTTGTGGGTATTTTAAGTGTGTCGAAGTGTGTTTTTGGTTAGTGTTAACACAATGTGGCAGAGTGACTACCCCTTGGTTCTTCTCGTCCAAAACCGTCTGACACTCCTCGTCGAACCAATCGGTCCGTCGATTCCGCTCGCTTCCGTTAATGGCTGCTTTCACGTTGTTCCAGCAGTCTTCAAGAGGGGCTTGGGTGAGCTCTCCTTCATCCGGCAACGCTGCGTCGAGGCATTGCGCGTAATCAGTTGCGACTTCGGAAAGCTTCAGTCGCTCCAGATTGTACCGTGGTGGGCGTCGGTACCGAATGTTGTTGGCAACGGAAAGTTTTTGGCGCATCTTAACCATTAGAAGGTAGTGGTCCGAATCGATGTTTGCGCCCCGATAGGTCCTGATGTCGATAATGTCCGAGAAGTGCCTTTCGTCGATCAAAATGTGGTCGATTTGCGATTCTGTCTGCTGCGGTGATCTCCAGGTGTACCGATATGAAAGGGTATGCTGGAAGTAGGTACTACGTATGGCGAAATCGATGAGTCTGAGCTGAGGCCATTGGCGTTCGTTAGCTGGTGAGCGCTGAACTTTCCTATAACCGGTCTGAATTCCTCCTCCTGGCCGACCTGAGCGTTAAGATCTCCGATAACGATTTTGACGTCATGGCTTAGGCAGCTGTCGCATTCTCGTTCCAACTTCTTTATCGTCATCGTCACTTGCTAAGTGAGGGCTGTGCACTAGACTGATGCAAAATTTGAAATTTTCGCTCCACAGTGCTTAAATGGTTCCAAATTGGGTCCTGCGTAGCCTCCCAAAATGTGAACTACTTTGTAAGAAACTGACTTGGCACAAACCATTTCAAGTTTATATGGGAATTACTATGGGAAAACTTATGTTTTTGTTCATATCTATCTAACAATTCACCACATCACTATGGTTTTAAAAATGATAGCAGTGATTGTAGCAATTTAACTACAACTTTGTTGAAAACTACTTTTCAATAAAAGTAATTAATGATTCAAGCTACTGACGTCTTATGATTATGCTCATTCAACTGTTCAGCAGGCAACATTGGTGTTTCTGGTGAGAAGAATAGAGCACACATATCCTGGCTACTATGTCATACTGCAGAATACAGTGTTGCCCACAGAACAGCTGCTTGATCATGCCGTAAGATTATCAATCTCTTAAACAATTAATAACAATTTAATTTGACGTTTGGCTGAACAAAAATATTCCGAAAAGTTGTAGCTTAGAAAATTTCCCGTAAGAATAATTATAGAAATTTTCGAAAAAGCAATATGGAAAATGGGTAGAAGACAATGAACAAAAAGTTTGGTTTTCCCATAGTAATTCCCATATAAACTTCGAATAGTTTGTGCCAAGTCAGTTTCTTACCAAATGAGTTTAAATTTTGGGAGGCTAATCAGGACCTGATTTGAAACCGTTTGAGCACTGTGGAGCAAAAATTTCAAATTTTGCATAAGTCTACTGTCCACGTTGATTATGCTGACATTGAAGAAACGGCCTTTGATCCTCAACTTGCACATTCTGCTATCGATAATGCTGATATCAACCGCTTCTGCATTTCGCCCATCACGATGAAAGCTGTACCCAGCTCATGTGTATTGCCGCAGCTCTGGTAGATGGTAAAGGGTGTCCACGATGAAATTGCCACACACAAAATTGATTCGCAAAATTCGAGTTTTCATCCGATTGCCATCAAATTTTCAGGGATTGAGAAATAACTATTAAACTTCATTTTACCATTTTACTCGTATTTTATTTACAGTCCATACGCAAATGCCCGCACCTTGGCCTTAACCCCGGCCATAAGATTCTGCACAACCTGTGAATCAACCGTTTTTTGCATGTAAACCCATACTTTCTTCAGTTCCTCGACTGTCTTCACTACCTTAGGTCGTTTAAGAAGGTGCTGCTTCATAATCGCCCAGTACTTCTCGATGGGGCGGAGCTCCGGAGTGTTGGGAGGGTTGAACATTTTCGGCACGAAATTGACCTTATTGTCCGCATACCACTTCAGCACGTCCTTGGAGTAGTGGCATGAGGCCAAATCCGGCCAGAAGATTGTTGGGACGTTGTGGGCCTTCAGGAGAGGAAGCAGCCGCTTCTGGAGGCACTCTTTTATGTACACCTGTCCGTTCATCGTGTCCTGGGTCACGAAAGGTGCACTCCGCTTCCCGCACGTGCAGATGGCTTGCCAAACCAGGAATTTCTTCGCAAATTTGGACATCTTCTGAGTGCGGACATGCTCCGGAACGCTGAACTTATCCTTGGCCGTGAAAAACAGGTTGCCGGGGATCTGTTTGAAGTCGGCCTTCACATATGTTTCGTCGTCCATGATGCAGCATTCAACTTTCGTCAGCATGTTGAGGTACAACTTCCTGGCACGGGTTTTGGCGGACTTGTTCTGCTTCTCGTCGCGATTAGGGGCCTTTTGTACCTTGAACGTTCGAAGCCCAGCCTTAGTTTTGGCCTTCTGGACAAAACTTCGGCTTAGGTGCAGCTTCTTAGCCACATCCCTAACGGAGGCGTTCGGATTTCGGTTGAAGGCCCCAACTACGCGGTTGTGATTTTTGGTGTTGTACGGAATACTTTTTCCTTCACTTCTGGGCTTCCGATCGGTGGTCAACCGTTCCTCGAACCGCTTAATCACTCGCGACACCGTGGAATTCGCGATTCCCAACGTTTTAGCGATGGAACGATGCGAGAGATCCTTGTTCTCGTGATGAATGCGCAAGATATTATCACGCACAAGCTGTTCTTTCGACTCCATTTCCGCGAGTTTTGATCACAGGACTTTAAAACTTGCAGGATGTAAATAATGCACAATGAACTAAATCCACCCAAATTTTCATTAAACTCTACCCAACGGTTAAAAAGTTAGAGCAATTTCATAGTGTGGCAATTTCATCGTGGACACCCTTTATAACCATCCCTATACTTATGTATCGACGATCTCTTCCAGCAAACCTACTGCAGCGCTACAATGTCTAACTAGCGGACTCTCAATAAATTGGAAAGAATGCGGGTACTTCCCAAGAAATTGAAAGACTTGCAATCGTTAGTCCGTTTTCGTTGCCTGGGTCTATGCCGATTGTTCCGGTCCGTATTTACATTGTTTGCTTCTTGTACTTTGGTTTTTTTTTTTACGGCTGGCTTGTAGGGCCTGCACCAACCCCCATTGTCTCGCCGGAGGACCATCGTGCACAGCACTGTTTAGAGTCCCACGCTGGCACCAGGACGTTGATCAGCCGCTCCTAACATGGATAATAGACGCCGTTTAGAGCCGCACCTCCGTGGTGAACAGACGCTCGAAGACTGCACTCTCCGGAGAGAGGAGTCCCCCCTTCCCTGTCAGCATACGACCAAGGTCCCACCGGGGTTGGTTACCCGATCTTTCCTATGGTTACTCGTACCCCAGCCGGCACCGCGGGAAGGTAGGGATAGGAGTAGCTGAACAAGAGGCTAAGTGGCCACGCCCACAGAGGTCTATTTTATACCAGCAGATACGCGAAGTATCGATGGTACGCATTGTCCAGCCGTTTTCGTTAGATGCATCATTTTTGATTTCTTAATGTAAGCCCCAGTAAAGTAAAGAAAGACGTAGTCCTACGTCAAAACACATCTTATTATTGTATTAATTTATTTGCCCTCTCACGACCTATTTGAGAGATGTTGGACTGTTGGACATACAACGAAAATATGATTTGCCTCAGCGTAATTTGAAACAATAAATCTTAACAAACAAGCACTCATAGCAATAAAACAACCCTGGATTTTCCGAAGCTTCTAACCGTAGTTTTCTTACTCCTTTCAGAGAAACACAAAGCTGATGATACCGTCAATCCGAATGTGCTGAACACCCTCTTCATGCTGGCCAATGTCACCAAACAACAACAGCAGCAGCAACAACAACAACAACAGCAGCAGCAGCTGAAAACATCCGGCGAATCTCCCATCGAAAGCTACAAGGAAAAACCTTCTCCGTTGAATATGCTGAACATCGTCAACAGCACCATGATCGAGGAACAGGAACAAGCCAAGGTTCGAAAGTCGGTTGAACTGCAGCAGAAGGCACTGCTGGAAACCCCACCTGTTCCGCCGATGCCGTCGGCGGAGATGCTGGCCAGTGGCGGTTCTAGTCCCAGCCGGGAGGTGCAGGAAATACTCTCACTCAAGGAGAACGATTGCCTGAATGAGTACTACGACTCGGATAACATTTTGTTGGACGAAACCGACGGAATCGGTGCCGACGATGACGAGTTGAACGATCTGGAGAATGAGATTAACGAAGACGAAGACGAAGATGAAGTGTACAACTTCAAGAACATCGATGATGATGACGACGATGATGTGCTGCAGCAGCGGAAGGTGCAAGTCAAGCCTAAGAAGACACAAACCGCTCAGAGTTCAAAGGAGGTCAAACCGATCAATCAGGAACAGGAACCGTCTCAGGAGAAGGTGGTGAAAAGTGAACCTAGCAACAATATCGATTGGCCAAAAGTACCGGAGGTGCCTCATCCTCCTTCGGCTCAACCTCTACCACCGCCAGGTCCGATGATTGTAACCGTACCGCAAAACAGCAAACAGCTGGACGATCTTACTCAGAAGATGGATCGATTGATGGACGTCGTTCAGGAGCAGTCTCATCAAATCTCCGGTCTACGCTCGCAGATTCATGAACTCAACCGGGCCCGGCTGGAGGATGCCAAAACCTATCATCGGGAAATCAACAAGCTACAATGTATGCTCCCTGCCACGATTAACAATACCTACAAAGATGGTCAAAATTCTCACTCAGAAATTCTGCACATAAAACTAACGGAAACCATGGCCCGGATGCCGCAGGTTATGGTCATGCAAATCGTGGAACATCTGCGGCCGATCCTTGCCCGCGAACTGCAGGTTCAAGTGAGCACGATAGTAGCATGCAAACTGGACAGCCTGATGCAGTTGATCAAGATGGAAATCGGCAGCAAGTTGCAGGCCAGTGACGCCATGTTCCGGACCAACATCGAGAAAATGTGTCGATCGCAGGTGATTGAATGTGCTTTTTGAATGGGGTCAGGAGTGATGCTAATGATGAGTTTTGATTTTCCAGCCAATTATCGACGCATTTGCAAATTCAATCCAATCCGGTGTGAGAAAAGGACTGGAGCAAGTTTATTTGGAATCGCTGCGTACGATTATTTTGCCCGGTCACGAGAAAGTCTCACAGGAATTGTTCCGCCAGCTAAGTCACACCTTCTCTGCCGGGACGAAGGAATGTAAGTACTAGTCGTAGTTCTTTGTAAGGTTGAAAGATTTGAAATCGCCCATTGGGATCGGGGTTGTTTTTTTTTTCAGACATTCAAAAGTTGGACCAATACCTCGCGCAACAGAAGCAAACCACGGACCGAACAAGTGATGTCATCGAGCTGGTGAAAAAGATCCCCGAGCAGGTCAACACCAACACCGACCGTCAGTACAAGGCCAATACATCCGCCCTACGGGAGGACGTCAATCGGGACTTTAAGATGCTTCAGCAGAACCTTTTGAAGGTCATCCGAGAGAACATCCGGCATGAAATCGAAAAAGGACTGGAAGCGCAAGCCTCTTCGCTGGAAGATTCCGTACTTTCGGCGGTACGATCCCAGACACAAACGCCAGCCCCAGCAACTGTGGACATTCACGAACAAATTCAGACACTCCTCGCCTCGGGACAGATCAATCAAGCCTACCACAAAGCGTTGCTATCCAACGACCTGAGCTTGGTGGAATTTACCCTCGAAAAATCGGACTACAGATCGGTGTTCAACCCATGCCCTCTCGAACAGACTGTTCTGCTGTCCCTAATCCAGCAAATTTCCGCCGACATGACCAACCACAATGAGTTGAAGCACAGGTAATGAAACAACTACACTTTCCAAAGCTGAGCAATCCCACTAAATTCCCCTTTCGAAAACAGGTACCTCTCGGATTCGATTGTCGCCCTCAACTTTAAAGACCCGATCACGAAGGAGCACGCCCCGAAGGTGATGCGCGAGCTGATGCAAAACTGTCAAAACTATCTGACCTGCAATCCGGGCCATTCGATTATGGTGACCAGCATCAAATTTCTGATGATTGCCATCAAGGCGATCGCCAGCTCCAAGCGGTTCGATGTCGCTGAAAATAGTCCGCGGACCAGCAGCAAACCGTTTTGATATCAGTGGAAGTAGTCCGCGGTCTAGGTACTGGACAAGGACGACGGCGCCCTAAAGTTTTATATTATTTTTTTTTTTTGGGAGAGCGCATTGAAATTTCTTGACTTTTTCACTTTTTTTTTATATATCTAGACGATGAACCTTTTGCTTCCCAACTATCAATAGTTATCAATTCTACTTGAAGCTATCGAATCTGATCTCTGTTGACTTTTATTTATGGACACACACAAACACAAACACTTTTTGTGTTTTGCAATGTTTGTTTAAGAATGTTTCAATGTGCGCCTCTTTGTTTTTGACTTTAGCTAATTATGTATATGAAAAGCTAAACTATAATCATGTTTCAAATGCTTCCAACTCTCTCAACTTCAATGTTTCTATATCTAAAAAAAAAATTGACGCATTTCGTTTGTTCCTATCTGGAGCTACCTATATACCTAATCCTTTTGGAAGATGAGCAGAACTCTGCGCGTCACCCACATTTTTGAATTATATCCCATCAAAAAAAGGCAATTAATCTTCTACTGGAAAATAAGATCACACGAAATGAAATGCGTTGTGCTTGCCCGTAGTCGCATATCACTTAATACGATACGATAGGACTCCATTCATCTCGTCGGCTCTTTCTCCACTCGTAAAGGAAGTTCCTTTGGTTATTACTGTTGAAGACAATCACATTCGGGATCTCTGTCCTACAATTTCCGGAAAGCCGATCATCGTAGCATTGCCGATGTGCTGTCAAGCATTGATTGGGAAAACATACTCGATTCTGATAACGTCGAAACCGTTGCTTAAACTTTTCCACATGTCTTGGCTTATGTCATTGACAGACACGTACCTAAGAGCGTTCACCAGATTGCATCGCACCTCCCTTGGCAGACGAACGAATTGAAGAAGCTGAAATCGATCAAGAGAGCCGCGTTGAGGAAATTCACTAAATATCGAAAGATGTCACTGAAACATCACTACGTTAAACTCAATTATCAGTTCAAGCGAGTCAGCCGTCAATGCTACTTGCATTATCTGCGAGGGATTCAAAGGAAATTCAAGTCGCACCCGAAGTCTTTCTGGAAGTACGTGAAGGAGCAGCGCAGAGAGTTCGGTCTACCATCATCCATGATATCCACTCCACAGGAAGTCTGCCGCAAGTTTGCAAGTGTCTTCTCTGACGAGAGCTTAACCAACGAATACGTGACTCTAGCAGCAAGCAACGTTCCACTTTCCGGTCAAGCTCTGGGTGGAGTTGTTGTCAACGCTGAAGTGATAACGACTGCCGCACTAAAACTAAAGCCTTCTATCAACCCTGGACCGGATGGTGTCCCTTTAATCTTTCTGAAGAAGCATATCGCTAACTTACTGTCACCGCTACAACATCTGTTCCGATTGTCCATATCGTGTGGCATTTTCCCATCGAACTGGAAATTTGCGCATATGTTCCCTGTGTATAAAAAGGGTAATAAACGGAACGTGGATAATTATCGTGGAATTACATCGTTGTGCGCAATTTCGAAGTTATTCGAGTTAATCATCATAGAGCCTCTGCTCTCCCATTGCAAGCAGTATCTAATTGAAGATCAACATGGCTTCACCTCTGGTCGATCTACTACCACGAATCTACTGTGTCTGACATCGTACATCACGCTAAGTATGGTTGAAAGGTCACAAACAGACGTCATCTACACTGACTTGTCTGCTGTCTTCGATAAGATAAATCACGCCATCGCGATCGCCAAATTGGATAGACTTGGGATTAGCGGAAATCTCTTGAGATTGTTTTGCTCATATCTCGCCGATCGTCAGTTGGTGATAGCCCATGGTGACTGCCAGTCCAACATTTTCGCAGCTACGTCAGGAAAGAAAGTCATCTGGGACCGTTGATTTTCTTACTCTACTCAACATCTACTTACGGATCTGATCGATTGATGATTGTCAATTCCTCCAACGTCAGTTTGAAGCGTTTGCCAGCTGGTGCCATTTGAACCGAATGACACTAAATCCTGCGAAGTGTTCAGTCATCACTTTTACCCGAAAGAAAGAACCAGTTATTTTTCACTATGCTCTCCGGGACACCATTATTGAACGTGTGAGCCATGTAAAAGATCTAGGTGTCATCCTGGACTCTCAACTTACATGTAAGCAGCACATCTCGTACGTCGTCGACAAGTCGTCAAGGACATTGGGCTTTATCTTCAGAACAGCTAAGAATTTCTCCGATATCCATTGCCTCAAGTCACTGTATTGTTCCCTGGTACGTTCCATTCTAGAATATTGTTCTGTGGTTTAGAGTCAGAACAACAACAATGGCACTGAGAGAGTCGAGTCCGTTCAACGCCGCTTTCTGCGATACGCGTTGAGAATGTTACCTTGGAGAGACCCGTTTAATTTGCCCAGCTATGAAAGTTGCTGCCAGCTGATAGACTTGGAGCCTCTTCGCACCAGAAGAGATACTTCAAAAGCCCTGCTTGTCGCGGACACGTTACATGGCAGAATTGATTGCATGTCATTCTTGAAGCAAGTAAACATTAACGTCTAACCCCGAATGCTTCGTAACAATGTTATGCTGAGAATGCCACTACGTAGAACAAACTATGCAATCAACGGTGCAATAGGCGGACTGCAGCGAGTATTTAACCGAATTTCATCAGTATTCGATTTTCACCTGCCACGACTAACACTTCGGAGACGTTTCTCTTCATTCTTCTCCAGGAAATGGAAACAGTCAATGATCATGTTTTAATGTTTTGTAGTTTTAACTTATGACTTTAAAATTAAACCTCTCCCTTGCGTGGAAACATGGTAGCACAGGTGATCTACAAATTTTTGGTCCGTCCCATGTTTGTCGATCTGTCACGTCCATATGATCAACTATTGAAAAACAATTAACATATTATTGCTTTTAAAGAAAAACTTTTTTAATGGATTCCATTATTTTAGACTGTATGGAAAATGTTTTGCTCAAGGACTTTTTTTTCAAAAACACATTCAGGCCTATTCTGCGCGGCGTGTGAGGTGAGGTGACTCGCTGTCACTAGTGAAGTGACAATTCGACAGTGAGCATTCATAAGGGCGAATACGCGATGATCGATTCTCTTCATCGACTTTCTCTTTGCATTGCTACAGCTAAGCGAAACAATTTTCTAGAATTTGTTCAATGCAGAGTAGTAACAGGTTGTATTGGCTATCAAAAGCAACAGCAAACGCAACGAGAAACGTTATATCTAGCGAGTTATTAACAAAAGAGAAAATCGATGAAGAGAATCGATCATCGCGTATAGGCCCTTATGCATGCTCACTGTCGAATTATTGTTACCTCGGGTGAGGTAACTCTCCATTTGATTTGCACGGAGACTTACCTCACCAGAGATGACAATAATTGTGACAATTATTGTCACTTCACTGTCACCTCACCTCACTCGCCGCACAGAATATTAATTCGACAGTGAGCATGCATAAATAAGGGCGTATACGCGATGATCGATTCTCTCCATCGATTTTCACTTTGCATTGCTACAGCTAAGCGAAACAATTTTCTTGAATTTTTCCAATGCAGAGTTGTAACAGGTTGTATTGACTATCAAAAGCCACAGCTAACGCACCGAGAAACGTTAAATCTAGCGAGTTATTAGCAAAAGAGAAAATCGACGAAGAGAATCGGTCATCGCGTTTACACCTCACACGCCGCGCAGAATACGCCTACCTATATACAAACAAGACTCTTGTTGAGTGAGAAGCTCCCAGGAAGTATACAGCAAAAAGGAAGAAATTAAATTGGACAATAATTCAACAGTGAGCGTTCATAAGGATCTATTTGCAATGATCGATTCTCGGTACGTTTGCTGTTGCTTATGATATCCAATACAACCTTGTTCAGCACAGCATTGAACAAATCGACAGTGAGCATGCATAAGGGCGTATACGCGATGATCGATTCTCTTCATCGATTTTCTCTTTGCATTGCTACAGCTAAACGAAACAATTTTGTAGAATTTGTTCAATGTAGAGTTGTAACAGGTTGTATTGTCTATCAAAAGCAACAGCAAACGCACCGACAAACGTTAAATCTAGCGAGTTATTAACAAAAGAGAAAATCGATGTAGAGAATCGATCATCGCGTATACGCCCTTATGAATGCTCACTGTCGAAATTTCAGAAAACTTTCGTTTAGCCGTAGCAATTCAAAGAGACCCTTATGAACGTTCACTGTCGAATTATTGATGCCATAGGGGGGAGTGTGTTGATTTGGCATTATCTGTGAACGATCTCCTGATAAAAACCCCATAATTTTTTAACAAAATACCTTTATTCACCCGCCTTCAAGTGCTCAATTACATGTTTCGGTAGTTTGACTCGTTTCCGTTTCTTCTTCTCGATCGGATGATCCTGAACTCCTTCCTGCTTCCCGCTGGGAACCAATTCTCCCTTCTTCACCTTCTTAGACTTCTTACAGGACAGAGGATTGGGGTGCTTCTTTTTCTTCGCCCTCTTAGGTTTTGGTTCGGTTTCAACCAGTAGCCCCTCTTTCCTCTTCAACGAGTTCAGAGTCTTTTCATCTACCGCGCGCACCTGAACCTTGGCCTGTGTCTTATCGGCGGCAGCCCGAACGCTAGCTTCCGACGGTTGCACCAAAGTGGAAACCACATTGTTGTGCAGATAGAACAGCGGAATACCAGCCCGGGATTGAATCCACTCCTGCAGGTTCCGATCCTGGGTGGCCACGATGTAGTTGCACGTTTTAGTCATAGCCTTGATGCAAGCCGATCCCGCGATCGGTTGCTTTTCGTGGCCACATTTATGCAGGAGAAACTTCTTCAGCAACTGGCAAACGGCAACCAGCGGACCGCCGATGTTTTCCGTTTCGGTGATGATGCAGGCCGTGACAATAGGCTTCAGTTCGCGTTGGAAGTATTTTTTGAGCTGATCTTCGATTTGGATGCGGGCCTGGAATCAGAAGTTTGTTAATAGAAGTAATACTATTGAGGTCCAGATATTGTATACCTTGTAGGCAGCATGGCAGAAGGTTCCATCGACAAGCACTAGTAGCGGTTCTCGAAATCCGAAATTGTTGATGTAGAAGCTCATATATTTACGAGCCTTTTTGTGCTTCGTAACTTTCATGATTCAAATTATTTTTTTAAGAAAAACCTGTAGTTTTCATCAATTGCACAGTCCCGAAAAAAAACGTAGGTATAATCCGGAATTCTATCCCCCAGAGTGGAGTACACCGAGCAGCGGTAAACGTTGTTTTGATTTGGAAATGTCAACGCGCCATCTGCAGATTCTTATGTCGACTGATGCTCGATCGAAAGAAAAATCGACGAATGAGGGGTGCACGGATAGACCAAATTTAATACACTCAGCGAAAAACGGTCAAAATTTTTTTATGTTTTTGATGCACTCAAAAAATATTCAATACGAGATTCAATACTAGATAGTGTACACTAGAGTCGGTGTATAATGAGTCACGCCAAGAGAAAAACAGTTGAACTCGCATCACGGTTTTCGAAAGATTCCCTCTCTTTTCACTTGGCAACAGAGGAATTCTACATCAACTTCAAATGACTTCCAGCGAGAAAAAAAAATAGCGGCTGTAGTAAATCATTATATCAGTGATTTAGTCAAATTATGTTAACCAAAAATAGTAGAAATTCTCATAAGTGATCATTACCAAACGTATCCCATGACAATTTATTGCTCACTGCGTGTTTATTATCATTTCTTCGATTATATTTTATATTTTATTGCAATACCTTTCGTGGATCTTTCATAGGATCGTAATGTTTGTGTACTTTGCACGATAGGTAGCCGGTTTGACAGTGCAATAGGTAGACTTGGCTTCACTCTTGGCGTGACTCATTATACACCGACTCTAGTGTACACCTAGGGGCAAGCCAGCTGTAATCAAAGTTAATATTTTTGCTCCGAGTAAATTTGAGTAACTCATAATTACTCAACAATGATCAAAGTAGTCTGGCCTTATATACATCCACAAATACAAATCACAGTGTGAATAAACATTATGTGTCAGAGGAGAAGAAGAATCTGAATTATTTTATAAATTTCTTGATACAAATCGTTATTCAATCAATTGAATTCATTCACAGCATTAAATCTAAGCAAATTCTAATAACTTTGCTTTGAAGGGAAATAAAGTAAAAATGCCATATCCGAAGATGGCCTGACATGAAAAATGTATCCGCATCACCCGGCAAGACGTGCTTTATTAGGCCTTCATGTTCTTGGCAAAGCAGAGGTTCTGCATGTCTACAATTGCGAATTGCATCATTGCATAAGAATGAATAAGTTGAGAACTCAAGATGGATGGGAGCTTGATTTAGTTTTATGGAAACAAAAAAAAAATTAAATATGGCTTTACGATGACAATGTATTGCTTTTCTATTAATCTTGGGTTGAACTTAGTGGCAAATAAAAATGCCTATAGTTATTTTTTTCTGAAAATCATGACAACCAGCATTATTTTTCTAGACTTCTCTGAATGCCCAAGTATTATTGCAGAACAATGAGGTTACTGCATCAAAGTTCTGCATTAATTCGTGGGCATTCAGACAAAAGTCAGAGAATACTATTACAAAGTAGTAGTCGTTACTTTGATGTCTTTCGAAGATTCAATCTGTGGTTAATTTAACCAAATGAACTTCGGAAAATTTATCATATTTTGAACCTGCAAATGCTATCGTCAACGTTGACCAATAACAGCCTGCATTATACTCGGATGAAAACGGCTAATAAAGGATTGGCATGAAGCAGTAGAAAGGTCATGGGATCTATCTATGGATGGTTATCCAGTGTAAACCACCATTTTCTCTCTTTATTTATACTGCAATTCCACTACGACGCCCACATTCATCAGAATTCACCTTTCGACAATGGGAAGCTGCAGAATTTAGAAATATTTATCACCGTTGAACGTCTTTCTTTGACAGTTGGGGAATGAACACAACAAGGTTGCTGTGTTGCCGTGCATCGCATGTAGAACAACTCGAGTTACTCAGAGTTGCTCAAAATTACCTCAAATTTTACTCATGATCAAAAGCTGTCTTGCCCCTAGGTGTACACTCATAAGATAAATCATATCTAGATAGAGCTGGAATTAGGGCCTAACAGCTTTTGTAAACAATGACTTTTCCCGATGTTTTCTAGGAATTCAAGGCACGCCAACGCAAACCAACATAACCATCGGCTAGGGGAAGACTTCCCCTGCCTGATAGTGATGTTGATTTGCTTGGGCGAGCCTTCCCTAATAAAAAAATACCATAAACGAACGATAACCCAAATCATTGAACTATTCCATAAATGGTTTGGATGATACCCCGAACACGTCGTTAAGCAAATTAACCATAACATTTTTATTAGGGTTGAGTGTCTAGAAATCATCTAGAGAAGTCATTGTTTACAAAAGCTGTTACGCCCTATCCAGCTCTATCTAGATATAACCAGTGGAAAATATCCACATGAATTTCACATAACTTTCATGTGATCCCATATTTGGAAATAGCACCACTAAATCACATGAACGTTATGTGTCGAATGAAATCTATATGATGTTTCATATAGAATTTCTTATGCTATGTGATATTCAGATAAAAATCATTATATTTTTATTGGAAAAATACTATATGCGTTCCTAATAGAAATTAATTAAAAACTTTTTTGAGTGTAGCATATCAGGTTAGCTTTAATTCAAGCTGAACATTGCATTAGGTCCTAAGTAACATTGTCAGATTCTCTTCGTCGACTTTCTCTTTGTATCCCCACGGGCATGTAAAGACATTCCCATGTATTTTTAGCACACAAATCGATCAAAGAAGCTTTTATCTAGCATCTAATACGATAAACACATCAAGAAGCGGTTATGTGCTCAAGTTATTAACGAAAGAGAAAGTCGACGAAGAGAATCGACTTACTTAGGACCTAATGCAATGTTCAGCTTGAATTGTGCTAGAAACATAAAGCATACATGACCACAGCAATTCTCTTAAGCCCATTGGCGTTGACGGCGACTCTGTAGCTCTTTACTCCTATGAGAAAATCCATAAGCAAACGTCAGACTGTGCGTGAAACATGGCGGACTTTGTACTATCCTTTCACTCCACCGAAAATTCCCATAAGAAACTGTCTATATTTGCTGAAAGAGCAAATTTTTCGACGGTGCCGTCAACGCCAATACAGTACCATTTAAAGCGAACGAGTGCGAACAAGAGAGAAACAGATTAGTGGGAAAATAAACCGTCCATTCATCCATGTGTGCTAGATAGAGAAAGATGATTAAACGTCAAAAAGGTCTATTGCCTAATCCATCCTTCGAGTCAAGTATGCGAAGTGTGTATTACCGAAGACCGAGCCGAAGACAAAAAATCAAGAAAACTGACAACTCTTCCATTTTCTCATACGAACGCTATGAGACAGGTACAATCACGTCATCTGCCGCTCAAAGGTAAATGCTTCGAACGAATTTGATAGCAACGATTACATCCTCAGACGAAGGGTTTGTGTATTTGCTCATTTTTCTATGCGTTGCTTCCACCTTCACTCAAGCGCAGCGCTATAATATCTTTCGCTTAGATTCTGGCAAAGTTGCCAGTCTTCTTGGAATGATGTCTTCGGTATTACTCAACAAACAAACGCCTATTGAAAAAAATAACAGTTAGTGAACAGTAACAAATGTCTGGAGAATCTATTCAACCACAACATTGTACTACTTGGTATTATATAAGGTATTTCGATAAACTTTTATTCGACTTACATGAGGTGTAGACATCATTGCTACCTTAAACAGCGATGCTGTATACACATTGCTTGATTCTTAAGTGAATTTATGTTTGTTAGCTGAGATCTCGGCAAAATTCCCGTTTGAATCTGAATCTCAGCAAGTTTTTTACTGAGATCCAGCAAAATAAAATGCCGATCTGCTCGGTGGTGCTCATCTCGGCAAAAACAAAGCTAAGTGTGTATATTCGGCAAGAACACAATTTTGGTTTAAACATCGTTGGTTCGTTTTCATTTGCTGTCACTAAGGTTTTATTTTCATTTCAATGGAATGAGAAACAACCTATAATGATACATCTAAGCCTGTTTTTACAATTGGGTTGATTATGATTACCACCTCCGTCACTATCTTACCGAGCAGCGACGCAATCAACCAGTAGGTCTCCGGATACGGATACGAGTCTTGAATTGACCTGGGTCTCAAGCAAATCGATTAACGTACTCCATTCTAGTCGAAATTCTAGTACTAAACAATGTTTGTTTTGATTCGCTATGAAAGTTTGACAGATAAAATGAGGGGTATGTGGATTTTCCTATGTTTCGAGGGGTGCATCGATTAGCTTGGGACCGAAGATAGTACCAGAGCTGAGCCAAAAAGTTGAGCACGTTTCTAAGCGACCTTCTGGTCTTAGAGTTTCTTCTATGGTGGAACTTTCATTTAATCGTTCAGCAAAGTTTGATTCATTTTCTTGAAGGGTAATTTCTATGCAAATTCAACGGTCCAATAATTGATATGTAAGATTGTAGTTCATTTTTATTCAATGATTCATGGGCATATGGTCTTCCTTACCTTCATTGTTGTTCTCTACTTTGCTTATGTTGATTACACGAAGCAGGCTTGCAATTGCTCATTACAGCTCAAATGCTAATTTTTGGAATTATGAAACTATGAGATACTTTAATGATAATTTTTATTTGCAAGAAGCAAGAATGGGTGGTAAAGTTTGTGTTTGACACATAATTTATCAATTTTGCTTAAACTAACATGTTTTATGTATCATACAAATACTTTACCTTCTCTTCTTGCATCTTGTCAATAAGAATTACCATTAAAATATTGTATTGCTTCATAAATCCGAAAAATAGCATTTTTGCTGTAATGAACATTTGCAAGCTTGACACGAAGTATTATTTTTTTTTTAGTACACAGCAAAAAAAGTTGTTGAATATTACATCGAAACTGCTGCAACCAGGTCAATCCCTCGGTTGTGTAATATCACATTGTACGATGTACATCGATTTTGCGAACAAAATTACATCCATTGATGTAAAATTGTATCTGCTTTTTGCTATTACATCATTATTTCATACATCAGCTTGAATTACGTTGATCGATATTACATTTTTTTTTGCTGTGTATGTTGGAGAACAGTAAAAAATTAAGAAATTCCAATGTCCTACGTTCGCGCTACGTTCTGATAATTGCTATGCTTATACATTCAAAAGCTTACAAATACTTGCTTATATAGCAGAATACATCTAATAGCATTACTGTAAATTAATTACATTTACATAGCTTTATATTGCTGGGATTAAAGGATTGTCGGTCGTATTAATTGTATGTGATAAAAGTGGGCTCGGTGGCCTAATGGTAGCCATTTTTACTTACTGGGCAGAAAACCATGGGTGTAATCCCAAGCCCGTTACACAATTGAGCTCGTACGATTGCATAATTTTCTTGTCAGGCTTTAAAAGATCGCATCACTTTCCAAACTGATTCCAGATCACATTTACCCTCCCTATTAACAAAACGTCCCTCCTGTGACAACGCAAAATACTAGTCATCTCATCTAGGGAGCTTGCGTCTTCGGCATAGTTGTACAGGAAATCAAGACCAAGGTGGTACGATCGAAATCCGTAAAGTTCCTTCGGCACATTCTGCACGATAATAATAAAAAACTCAATAGTTTCGATGAGCTTGCCATAAGACCATGTGATATTTAAAATTTTAAACCAACAATATTAGGAAAAATATGTTTATTCAATTTCTTACCAACAAAAGCCATAAAAATTCATCCAAAAAAATATAATGCAACAAACGCTGATCCCTCTCATATGACCTACATTCCTTTTCTCTCATCAGAACTCAATTGACGAAACTGTGTACATCGGAAAACAAACAATCACCTGCCAACTTCCAATCAAAATAAATTGCTTCATTTACTTTTCGGTTGGTCCTTCTTATAACTAGCTAAGTGTTTCATCTATTGTCACTATTTCGTCTACCGTGTACAAAAACAATACAGCTTCATTCGGTAATCATCCACGCAGTAACTCTGCTTTCCGTAGAGGTTCGTCCGGCTAACGCTGCCAGTCAATGAACTCCTGTTGAACGAATCGATCCGAACCGTGGCTTCAAACTCCGCTTCACCCGGCTTCGTCAGAAATCGAACGCTAATGTCGCTGAATTGGTTGATCGGTTTCTTGGATGTGATCTCCTCTGTCAATATCCCAAGACTTGCATCCTCGATCGAGTACAGATGAAGCGCCCCACACTGGGGATACTTTTTGAGCATTTGATTCAAGCTTTCTACGGTGTAGCGTGCAACGGCGATCACCCGATAGTCGTTGGTTGCGACCGGTTTGTGATCGTGACACGTGCACCAGTGCGGAGCAATACCAGCATCTTCGCAGGTTCTTGTCGGTGAGATTGGCAGAAATAGACTTATTCCACGTGGCACCGGTTTCGCTTCAAGTAGTTCTAGCGATCTAAGTTTGATGGCCGATTCCGATACTAGGGGTAGGTTTGCAAGGTCTTTGAGGGTTTCGTAAAGATCGAAGTGGGTTGTCAACTGTTGTCGATTCTTCCGCAGATTGCGGTAAGCTGACGGGTATCGATGTGGGAACCATTTTGGGAGAAGAATGTATAGAAAAGGTTGCCGTTCCTCCATCATGCCTTGATATGTGTTTCGATAGCTGCCCCACCGTATTCCATGATCACTGAGTAGAATAATGGCTGACTTGTCCAGGAAGCCTTCCCGTTCCATATGCTCTAGCAGGCCTCTGTAGTCTTCGTCCACCAGCGAAGGGTAGTTCAATAGATCGTGGGTCATCGTACATGCCCAGAGAAGAGAAAAACTTAGTCGATTCTTCATAGAAGAAACGACCTTTCTGGCGTATTCAACCAATATCTGCGTGGGGTTGCGACCACCTAAGCAGAGCTTGGCGTTTACTTTCTTATTGTAACCAATGGAAGAATCTGCTTGACGGAAAAAGCTCCGCAGGTAGTAATCCGTTGGTTGATCACGGAATCCTTTCTTAAGGTAGTTGAAAGTTTCCATCGTACTACTATCCTCGGCATAGAACGTTCGGTAACCTAAGTCACCGAATTTTCGCCAAATGAAAGGACATAAATCGAAAGTACTGTTGGAATATGGAAGACATGCGGCTGCCAGATCCTCTACGTCGAGACCGGTTAGCGCCGGGACCAGATTCGGATACGTATTGTCGCCAACTTTGTTGTAGCCGAACATTTCAACGCCTGCAAATGGGAAATAATATTTTAGATCGCTCACAAATCTTCAATTAATTGCAGAATTACCTTTCAATCGATCAATCACCATTTCGGCAGTTTGCTTCATCTGTCGATGAAAGTTTAACCTGGATACGCTATCGATCCCCAAGATCATCATGCTAAGCTTTTCATCATCTCCGCCTAACCGTGCCTTCAGATCGTTCCTCGTCTTTTCACAACGCTCTTCGACAGCTGGCTTCAGTGGAACGAACGCAAAATAATCCCTATAGAATACCAACTGCTTCATTTCCGGATGAGTGCAGATGACTGCAATGAATTCGTTATTTATTTCTAGCCTCTCGCCGTACTCGAAACAAATCTCTTGCCCAACGATTCTCACATTGCTATTGGACTTGCGCTCAAATGGACGATAGCAGCACTGAATCAAGCTAGCGTTGCTCAACTCGTAATGCTTTTCGATGTCCTCCTCGGTCAACTGAAACCAGATCGAACTGCTGTCGCTCTGGATCACGGCCGGAGTGCAGTTCAGAGGTTCCACCTTATGGAGAAACTTTTGAACGTGTTCGTCCACGATTGGCAGGCTGGGCATCTTGCAGCCTGCCGTGTTGACAAAGTAGGAACTATTGTAGTTGAAGTGCTGTTCATCATCCTTGGTGACGAAGGCTTCCTCCCAGTACGGGTTCCCTGTGCCTCCACTGTACAGCCACGTCGGCAGGCTGATGCTGTACAGAAACACCAGGAGGATGCTGACCAGGATCAGTGCAAGTTTGAACCGTGCCTTCCGGGATGGTATCTTGAAGTTGTGGACGCTACTTCTCGATGGGCTGCCACGTGCTATCAGCGTTCGATAGTCGACTCCTTTTGGCATGATTCTGGAAGGAAGATGGATAAGGATATTCGGTTAAATCTAACACATGATAAAGCTGGTTAAACGCTGAATAAGGGAGTTTAGGTTTATAAGAATTTTGTTTGCCTTTGCATTCGGCTGCAGATCTGAACTGCACACCGAAGAGCTCTATGATGGTATGAACATTTTTCACGGATGCCAGTAAGATCATTTGTTTTTCATGGTTAACAAAACAATTTTTTGTGCTTCCGCTTATCCATGGAATCTATAGTATCTATACTGGAAATGGATTGGATGTGAGAAAGGGGTGTTAAAAATGTTCAGAGAGATACGAGTCTGAACACGAAGAGGATAAGTGTAAAAGGTGAAAAATCGGCTGCAGCAATATTAACCAAAACTCAACGAACCAAAGCAACATACCCGGCACGGATCCAACATTGCTTCAAGCTACAGATCAATCAGCCTCCTTTCAGCGCTGAGCAAATTGTTCGAGAAACTCATTCTTAATCGTTTGCTCAAGTTTGTTGAGGAATACAACATTTTCCTTCCGGAACAGTTCGGGTTCAGAAAGAGGCACTCCACCAATCACCAGCTAGTTCGGGTGATGAATAACATTCGAAGTAACAAAGCTGTATCCAAGTCCACAGCCATGGCCTTGCTAGCCGTTGAAAAGGCGTTGAAAAATGTTTTGAATGACGGAGTTGTGTACAAGCTTTGTAAATTCAATTTCCCATTACATCTGGTTCACTTTTTCCGCTTTCACTTTTCACGCCGGTGAAGGATGTTACCAAGCTGGGTGCCGAACTAGCAAAACACAAGCTCCTACCTCGCTTCAAGCTTTGCAGCATCGGTACCAAAATCATGTGCTCCGCCCTGTAGGAGTACAAACAAATAGGATGTTTCCTGAAGGACAACAACGTGGACTTCTTCACGCATGATCTGCCATCGAGCAAGCCACTGAAGGCGATTTTGCGTGGATTACCGTCGTTCGAGGTGACTGCGATGAAATCCGAGCTGGAGCTGTTTGGGCTCAAGCCTGAGGCAGTGTACCCGATGAACCGGCGTCCCAACCATAACACCAGCTTCCGTGATCCGTGGTGCATTTCACGAAGGGATTCACCAGTCTTGCGGCTCTGAGATCCAAAATTCGGGACCTGTTTCAGGTCATCATCCACGAAGATACAAATGGTTCCCAACAGTCGGACAGTTCAGCATCGTCTCGCTGCTGCTGCGCTCCAGCCAATTCCAGTTTCATCCACCGCCCCTGGTTTATCATATGCTGGTGCTGTCTCAGGTGAGCCTGTCGACGATCCTCCGTTCAACTCGGAGGAACTTGTGACGCTCGTGGCCGAGGTCATCATCATCATGCGCACCTGCAAGACTCGATCTGAACATCTACACGCTGCCCTGTCCCTTGTCACTAACTATGGACCGTGAAGCCATCAAGATCGTAAATTGGAATGCTTGCTCCTTGAAGAGCAAAAACAGCGAGTTTGTTGACTTTCTCAACGAAGGGTACATCGACATAGCCGTCATCACCGAGACTCACTTGAAGCCCGAGCTGAACGTCTTCCTTCCCGACTATCGGCTCGTAAGGCTTGACCGCACCAGCTCCGGGGGAGGGGAAGTGGCCATCGCTGCGAGACGGAACATCAGCTGCCGGCTACTACCAAGCTTCCAGCTGAAAACTATCGAAGCCATCGGAGTTGAGGTGAGCACATCGCCATCATAATCGCAGTCTACTTCCCCAAGCAAACCAACATTAGGGACGGCTCGGCCGCAGACCTCCGAAGAGACATCATCAAGCTAACACGACGGCGGCAAAATTTCGTCATCGCTGGCGACCTGAACGTCAAGCATCTGCAGGAAGCCCACTACAACATCCTGTGTCCGGATACTCCCACCCGGTTGAGTCAATCCGGAGCTTATGCCACCATCGACATCTTCATCAGCAACATTGGAGATAACGATCTCAACCTATCGCCTATCAGGAACTGAGCTCGGACCACTACCCGGTGGTGGCCGAAGGAGGTTTCTCGGCCAATAGGTTTCAAGTTTCCCAGCGAAATTACCATCATGTCAACTGGCAGCAGTACCAGAACTGTGTGGACACAGCAATCGACTATGACGTCCTACCGGAGTCGTTCGAAGAAGTGGATCGGTGTCTACAAACCATCGAAGAGGCGATATCCCGTGCCAGAGAGCAACACGTACCAGAATCCAGACAGGTGAGTCATACTCTGAACCTCGACAGCCCAACCAAAGATCTTATCAGGCTCCGTAACACCATTCGTAGGCAGTTCCAGCGTTCTGGGCTGCCCAACTTGAAGACCAATGTCAATAGGCTAACCAAAATTATCCAGGTCAGGATGGTGGAACTCAGAAATAACGATTTTGCCAACAAGATTCGCTCTCTCCCAGCTCTCTCTCCATGAGCCTGCCGTACTGGAGGCAAAGTCTAGAGTCGCTGACACCCCCGTAGTAGTGCATGATGATAGTAGAATATCGACTGATGATAGCAGCTATTAGAAGCACTAAAAACATGAAGTCAACCTCGAGTTGAAAAACTTGAGTATTGACTTCTTCAACCATCTTACCGTTATCTTCAACAAATGTTTGGAGTTTGGAGTTTGGTTACATCCCTGCATACTGGAAGTTAGCCAAAGTGATTCCAATACGCAAGCCTGACAAAGATCCTACCAGTGCCAAAAGCTATCGCCCCATCAGCCTATTGTCCTCCATATCGAAGCTATTCGAAAAGTTGATACTCAGCCGATGGGGCCTCATAGCCTAGTCAGTAAAGGCACGGTATTACCAAGCCGGAGGCAGCGGGTTCGATTCCCGGTCCGGTCGAGGGAATCTTTCGGGTTGGAAATTTTCTCGACTTCCCTGGGCATAGAGTATCATTATGCTTGCCACACAATATACAAATTCATGCATTGGTATTTGGCATCGAAAGCTCTCAATTAATAACTGTGGAAGTGCATTTAGAACACTAAGTTGAGAGCACGCGAAATTACCATCGTGTCAACTGGCAGCAGTACCAGCGCTGTGTGGACACAGCAATCGACTACGACTTCCAGCGTTCTGGGCTGCCCACTTGAATACCAATTTCAATAGGCTAACCAAAATTATCCAGGCCAGGATGGTGGAGCTCAGAAATAACGATTTTGCCAACAAGATTCGCTCTCTCCCAGATTGTGCAAAGCCATTTTGGAAGATGACCAAAATTTAAAAAAAAAATAAGTCGAGACCGATCCCTCCGCTCTTCTCTGTTGACTAGGACTCGAACTACTCATAACCCCAGTTGAAAAGTCCAATGCTCTTGGCCAACATTTTGTGATTTCACATAATCTTGGGCAAACCATGGTGAGCTCCTATGGGCCTGCCGTACTGGAGGCAATGTCTAGAGTCGCTGACACCCCTGTAATAGTGCATGATGATAGTAGAATATCGGCTGATGCGGTGATAGCAGCTATTAGAAGCACTGAAAATATGAAGGCTGCGGGTATGGATGGTGTAGTCAACCTCGAGTTGAAAAACTTGAGTATTGACTTCTTCAACCATCTTACCGTTATCTTCAACAAATGTTTGGAGTTTGGCTACTTCCCTGCATGCTGGAAGTTAGCCAAAGTGATTCCAATACGCAAGCCTGGTAAAGACCAATGCCAAAAGCTATCGCCCATCAGCCTCTTGTCCTCCATACTCAACCGTCTGCTGGTGTTTTCAAATGATAATAACATCTTTCTCAAAGAGCAATTCGGGATAAGGAAAGGCCACTCTACTATCCACCAACTCGTACGGGTTACTCACATCATCAAGTGGAACAAGTCCGTTTCAAAAACATCTGCTATGGCATTGTTGGATGTTGAGAAGGCGGTTGACAATGTCTGGTATGATGGCCTAGTGTACAAACTGCATCGATACAACTTTCCGATCTACCTCGTGAAGATCATCAAAAACTACTTGTCGGGCAGATCATTCCAGGTCCCCGCTGATACGTTCAACATTGATGCAGGGGTACCTCAGAGTAGCCTGCTTGGACCTATCCTATCCAACATTTGCACGTCAGACGTTTCTCCCCTGCCGGGTGGTGGTATCCTGTCAATGTTCGCAGATGACTCCTCCATCACCTATAAGGGTCGAGTGATCCGTGCTCTGGAGAGTAAACTACAATCAGGCCTATGTTCCGTCCGACTATTTCAAGAGCTGGAAGATTTGTATCAATGCAGCTAAAACGCAAACCATTCTGTTTCCACACTCGAATTCATCTCGGCTTGTTCCACCTGCTAACGTCAAGGTCCATCTTGATAGCACTCCCATTGAATGGTCGAGTGAAGTAGTCTACCTTGGTCTAACCCTCGATAGCAAATTGCTATTCCGATCCCATGTGGACAAGACATCCACCAAGTGTAACATCTTGATCAGGTCGCTCTACCCTCTGATAAACAGGAAGTCCACCCTGTCCCTCAAAAACAAGCTTGCTGTCCACAAGCAGATCATTCTGCCGGCTATTGAATACACACTTAGAAATTATTATTTTTACACGAGACGTAATTCAGCTTGACGTAAATTATGCAACGTAAACAAACATAGCATGTAAAATTAAGTGTCCTGAAACTGAAACATATGCATCTCGACGAAAAGTGCGTTTTATTGAAGTGATTTTCTGGTCCTTTTCAACTGATTCTTATGTCAAAAGGGCCGCTTGCATGTGTCGGTGTCAGGGCACTGAAATTTACATGTCTTTTTCGTAGTGTGTATGGTATGCCAATCTGGGAGAGTTGTGCTCAGTGCCACCACCTAAACCTTCAGAGGATCCAAAACAAGATCCTCAGAATGATCCATAACAGTCCACCGCGAACTCGTAATTCTGAGATTCACCACCTGACCAGATCATTCGTGATTTGGCAACCTAGTTCAAGTAGTTAGGTAGGTTTCTGTGCTCAAGTAGGTAGGTTATCAAATTTTAAAATTCAAACGAAAACAAGCCCTTTAAAGGGTATCCTGTAAATTAGCGCTAAA